ATATCACCTTTTTAAATTTTACTTGGTGATGTTATATCTTTGGTCACCATTGTATGAAAGACTCACTTGTGGATTCAAATAAATCATTATAAATCAATCCAAATTCTGCAAAAATATTAAATATTCGATGTCAATGTTATTTAATAATGGACGGAAATTTAAAATTAATTGAAGATTTAGATTTATTATTAAAAGCCAGTCCATATTATGAAGAAATAATAAATAATCGAGTAGAGGGTTATTTAATGATAGGCGGATATAATGAGTCGCTTGTGGCTTTAAATAAATTATTAGACATCAATCCAAATTCTGAATTAACATTAAATAATCGAGTAAAATGTTATCTCTTTATGGGTAGATATAATGAGTCACTTGCAGATTTAAATAAATTATTGGAAATCAATCCAAATTCTGAAGAAAAATTAAAAGTTCGAGAAGCAATTTATTCCATGATGGACAGACCTGAAGAGTCGCTTGTAGATTTAAATAAGTTATTAGAAATCAGCAATCGAGTACAGTATTATTTCGTGATGGGTAGATATTATTTCGTGATGGGTAGATATAATGAGGCACTTGTATATTTAAATAAATTATTGGAAATTAATCCAAACTCTAAAGAAGCATTAAGTGATCGAGCACAATGTTATTTCATGACGGGAAAATATAACGAGTCACTTGTAGATTTAAATAAATTATTGGAAATTAATCCAAACTCTAAAGAAGCATTAAGTGATCGAGCACAATGTTATTTCATGACGGGAAAATATAACGAGTCACTTGTAGATTTAAATAAATTATTGGAAATTAATCCAAACTCTAAAGAAGCATTAAGTGATCGAGTACAATGTTATTTCATGATGGGAAAATATAACGAGTCACTTGTAGATTTAAATAAATCATTGGAAATTAATCCAAACTCTAAAGAAGCATTAAGTGATCGAGTACAATGTTATTTCATGATGGGAAAATATAACGAGTCACTTGTAGATTTAAATAAATTATTGGAAATCAATCCAAATTCTGCAGAAGCATTAAGCGTTCGAGGAATAGCTTACTTCACAATGAGCAGATATGAAGAGTCGCTTGTAGATTTAAATAAATTTTTGGAAATCAATCCAAATTCTGCAGAAATATTATGTATTCGAGGAACAATTTACTATGAAATAGGAAGATATGAAGAATCACTTGTAGATTTAAATAAATCATTGGAAATCAATCCAAATTCTGAAAAAACATTAAGTAATCGAGGAGTGACTTATTGTCGTATGTGCAGATATGAAGAATCACTTGTAGATTTAAATAAATCATTGGAAATCTATCCAAATTCTGAAGCAGCATTATGTAATCGAGGATTAACCTATTCCAAAATAGGAAGATATGAAGAATCACTTAAAGATCTAAATAAAGCATTGGAATTCAGTCCAAATTCTGGAGAAGCATTAGGTAATCGAGGAGTAATTTATTATGAAATGGGAAGATATGAAGAGTCGCTTGTAGATTTAAATAAATTTTTGGAAATCAACCCAAATTCTGCAGAAATATTATGTATTCGAGGAACAATTTACTATAAAATAGGAAGATATGAAGAATCACTTGTAGATTTAAATAAATCATTGGAAATCAATCCAAATTCTGAAAAAACATTAAGTAATCGAGGATTAACTTATCAAAGCATGGGCAGATATACATGGGTGCCTAAATTGTCCATCTTAATAAAAAAGTAATTACGGTATTTAGGCAGCCGAAATTAGTCTTATATAGTGCCGAAATTAATTTTCATATTTGCCGAAATTATTGCCGAAATTTTTTGAACTCTTTTCATCAAAATACATCATATAATATATTTATTTCGAAGGGCTTCATATAAAAAATTTAGCAATGCCGAAATGTTTGCCGAAAATACGATTTTCAAAAATAATTTAGGCACCCATGTATATGGGCAGATATGAAGAATCGCTTGTAGATTTAAATAAATCATTAGAAATCCATCCAAATTATGCCGTAGCATTAGGTATTCGAGGAGGAACTTATCGCTGCATGGGCAAATATGAAGAATCACTTAAAGATCTAAATAAAGCATTGGAAATCAATCCAAATTCTGGAGAAGCATTAGGTAATCGAGGACTAATTTATTATGAAATGGGAAGATATGAAGAATCACTTGTAGATTTAAATAAATCATTAGAAATCATTCCAAATTCCGCAGAAATATTAAGTAGTCGAGGATTAGCTTATTTTGCAATGAGAAGATATGAAGAATCACTTATAGGTTTAAATAAATTATTGGAAATCAAACCAAATTCCGCAGATACATTAAATAAACGAGGAAGGGTTTATGAAATTTTGGGCAGATATGAAGAATCACTTGTGGATTTGAATAAATCATTGGGCCTGGTTCCAGATTCTGCGGCAGCATTAAATAATCGAGGAGTGACTTATTGTCGTATGTGCAGATATGAAGAATCACTTGTAGATTTAAATAAATCATTGGAAATCTATCCAAATTCTGAAGCAGCATTATGTAATCGAGGATTAACCTATTCCAAAATAGGAAGATATGAAGAATCACTTGTAGATTTAAACAAATCATTGGAAATCGTTCCAGATTCTGCAGTAGCATTAAATAATCGAGGATTGACCTATCAACTTATGGGGAGATATGAAGAATCACTTACAGATTTAAATAAATCATTAGAAATCGATCCCAATTCTGCAGCAGCGTTAGCTCATCGAGGATTCATTTATTTAAACATGGGCAGATATGAAGAATCAGCTATAGATTTAAATAAATCATTAGAAATCAATCCAAAACATGCAGTAGCGTTATGTATTCGAGGAATGGTTAATCAATTGATGGGCAGATGTGAAGAATCGCTTGTAGATTTAAGTAAATCATTGGAGATAAATCCTAACAATGCAGAAACATTAGGCAATCGAGGACAATGTTATTTAACAATGTGCAGATATGAAGAATCACTTGCAGATCTAAATAAATCATTAGAAATCAATCCAAATTATGTGGAAGCATTAAGTACGCGAGGATTAGCTTATTTTTTAACAGGACGATATGAAGAATCATTCATAGATTTAAATAAATCATTGGAAATTAATCCAAGTTCTGAAGTTGCATTATCTAACCGTGGATTTGTTTATCAATGTATAGGCAGATATGAAGAATCACTTATAGATCTAAATGAATTACTAATTAAATCTCATCGTACGAACGTACAAATAGCACATCTAAGGTTTGGAACATGTGCAAATTGTAAACAGTATAATTCTGGAATTGATTTTTGTCATTTATGTGATTCTCAAATAAGTCGAGAGTGGGCTAGTGGAGATAAGGAGATAGACGAATTTATAAAACATGCACAAATGAATACACCATATTATCATAAAATTATTGAATGGATACCTTTTGATAGATTAGAAAATGTTCAAACAATTGGTAAAGGTGGATTCAGCACAATTTATTCTGCTACTTGGATTGATGGTAAACGAGCTTATAGTTTAGATGAAACGAAAAGAAAATTAATAAAGACACGTGAAAAATTTTGCAAAGTTGCACTTAAAAGTTTAACTGGAACACAAAGTGTTACATTGAATTTTTTAAATGAGGTAAGTAATTACATAATCTGTCCTTAATAAGAATAAATGAATAACAATCTATTTTGTCTTAAAGTTTAAAGCGCATTATGAATGTCAACTTGAAAAACTTAGCGTAGAAAAATATGGGATAGAAACATATGGAATAACTTATGATACAAATAGCAATGAGTACATGATGGTTTTTGAATATGCAGATAAAGGGGATCTTCGACGTTATTTGTCGGAAAATTTTACAAACCTTACCTGGAAACAAAAATTAAAACTTCTTTATTCTATATCGGATAATCTGGACTATATTCATCAAAGATATGTTCATAAAGATCTTCACAGTGGTAATATATTAATGGTTAGTACTGGAATTTTTGATTTATATACTTTAATACATAATGTCTATATTGTGAATAATAAACCGATAATGCTTACACCAAATATTGGGATAAAGACGAATATTGAGCCAAAGATTTCAGATTTGGGACTTTCTAGTAAAATAAACGAAATTATTGTAGAGAATGGAACATATGGAGTAGTACAATATGTTGCTGATGAAGTATTATCGGGTCAACCGTATACAAAAGCTTCAGATATTTATAGTTTGGGTGTAATTATGTCTGAAGTTTCGACTGGAAAACCACCCTTTGAAAATTTATCATGTAGGACAGTACAAATACAAAAAGTTTGTAACGGATTGAGACCAGAATTTGCAAAAGGAACACCTGAATGTTATGTTAAACTTGCAAACCAATGTATGGATAGAGATCCAACAAAACGACCAACGGCTAAAGAAATTTATGAGAAATTACGAGAATGGAAAATAACTCTCGATAAAGAAACTAAATTAAATGATGATGAACTTAACATTAAAAATGCTTTTTTGGAAGCTGATGATATGATTTTTTCACAATTTGAAACTTTGCAAAGACATCCAGATGCAAAGTATACAACTCAACTCGAGCTGGATGTTATTTATACATCTCAATATATTAATTTTTTCCATAATATTATTAATGAAGAACATTTATAATTGCAATAGGTTCTAAGTTTTCGGATCCATCTTAAATTAAATATGCCATCTAAAATAGGTATCTATATAATGTTAGCGCAAATAGACCTTTTGTATGGTTTTAGACCATAGATTATTGCAAACACCTTCGCTATTTTAGTTTATTAAGTTTATAACTGACTGCATTCAATTATCCATATGCCACTTAATTCTTTATCCACATTAGCCTTTTTTTTGTATTCCTATTTTTATGTTATTTATTATTTATATTAAGATATTATTTATATTATGATTACTATATTTTCCATCATAGTGCTAAAAATTTTTAAGAATGATTTCTCAATAAAATGAAAAGTTTATTCTGTACTTCACAGTGATGTTAATTCTATTGCTACTGGATGTAAGAGCGTCAAATCGCATATCATTTTTAAATCAGGATAATGAACGATGAAGAAAATATACGAGTGAATGAAATCGTGCTCTTGATGATATTGTGTGATAGCTCTATTAATATAATAGTTTATTTTCAGCTTTGAATTTCCTACTAACTTATTAGTTTTTAATTTATTAGAGATAGAAGTTTCAGGATAAGATATAAATAGGATATCGCAACGAATCTGGTTTCGAAGAAGGGAGACTCGAATGTCTTGCATACACACAAAGAATTGTCACAATGAACATTTAACTTGTAAAATTAATTCCTTTTTTTTAGATTTCAATTATCATTACCTTCTCTTGTACACTAGAGCTAAAACGATCTATTGAAATAGTGGCCATTTGTAAAGAATCGTTCTTGATTCACATTGGTAATAAAATCTGTAGTTCGTTATTTGTTATCTATTGTAACGAGTTAAAAATTTTTATTTTTTATTTTATGTATTATTGTAAATAAGTCATCTGCATGTACATAGTTTATTAGTAATTCCCCATCCATTCTGGTAACAATGCCCAATTTTAGTATATTCATTAATTTCTTTTGAATATTTCATAACTTGTACTAAAAATGGTAATGATGAGTGGCTAAGTTGCATAGAAATCAAATGAATCACGTAAACACCGAGAAAATCGTGTATACGTGATTACACAAAGATTGTGCCTTATGACTTTTCGGTGTATACGTTATTTTTGTGGTGTATACACCTGAATTTCCACGTCTGCGTTATATTTTCGGTGTAAACACCACAATTGCGGTGTCTACGTTACTGGGAATTAAAATGTATATAAAGGCGACGAGTTTAATAAACGAACGGGGAGTTTTTTTGAGACAGTAGTTAGTGATAAATAGTTAGTAATACATGTCCACTTTTAATTACCACAAAAAAATAATAAAGTATATACTTATCTGAATTTTCCTTTGAGACTTTGTCTTTGAATTCGACTTGTAACTTTAATAAACCCTTTCGAGACTCAATTCGATGGACTGAATTGACTTGTAACTTCGACTTGGATTATTAAGACTCGGATTCTAGAACGGTTGTGGAATTAGATATTGCCATTTACAGTAGTGACTTCGAGAATTGTGGTATAGAACGATACTTACGATTGGTTATTCGACCTTGCTAATCACTCACGTGGACTTAAAGTTATCACCGACATCACTTGATCATCGTCCACTTTTATCTCATCGCCCTTATTGAGATATCCCTAACAGCATCACCTGTAGTTGCATCGCCCCATTATCACCTCCCTTAATATTAAATCCTTCATTTCATAGTGTCATATTGTCTAATAGACCTCTGACAGTATAAACGACTCCCTTTGTTTCTCTAAGTTTATCATTATCTCACCGTACACCGTTGGGGTTAAATTGGCCTTCATTCCACATAATTCTATTAAGCTCTCCCAACAACGGTTACACTATAATAATTGCGTATCTCGGAATTACATCAATATGCATAAAATAAGGTAGCTGCACGACTAGAGATGTGCCACGTACAGTACTATACGTACAGTACTGTACGTACTAAATCGGTGTTTTTTTTTATTTCAATTTTACAGGTTTGTAGAATTGAAATAAAAAAATTTTGATCGAATTTAGTTAGGTTTTGTTGAGAAATTTTTACTTAAATCTAAGCAAAAAATTTGGTTACAGCTTTTCTTTTATGAATATTTAATTTTGAATGTTTATTTCTTGGTAAATAGCTATCCAAATTTAATAAAAGTTTTTTATTTTTGCTCTACAAATTTATAAAATTAAAACAAATAAATTTTTTATCGAATTTGGATAGTTATTTGCTGAGAAATATACTTTTAAAGCTAAGCATTCATAGAAGAAAGCTGCAGTCAAATTTTTTGTTTAGATTTAAGTGAAGATTTGTCAACAACTACTTAATTAAATTCAATCAAATTTTTTTATTTCAATTTTACAAATTTGTAAAAAATTTTTCATTAAATTTAGTTAGGTAGTCGTTGAAAAAATCTTCAAGTAAAGTTTAAAGAAAAAAAATTTTATCTAATTTTTAAATAATTTAGATATTCTAATTTTTTTAAAACTTTAAATAAATACTTTTCAATAAGGCTGTTCCAAGTTAATTAGTTGTTTAACATAACCCTCTCCAGGTTAGCTGTCCTCCCCAAAATTAAACCAGCCAATCATAATGCAGGATATCCAATAATCATGTGATTAAAACTTTCAAATGAATTGTGTTTTATAGTTTGTTATAGTTACTTAAATCCTGTTCAAGTTTAAAAACATAACTGGATAGTAATTAAATACATGTCTATAAAAACTTTAGATAAAAATATTATGAACTGAAAAAGACAGCTATAGATTAGTCTTTTTAAAACTGATTGACAATCAAGTTTATTTTAAATATTATTATATAATAAGGTGGCTGATACTTATACCCCTAATTATGTTATTCATATTCCCTATAGATTAATTTTTTTTAACTTTAAGTGAAGATATCTTGACAACCACAAAGCCAAATGTGATGAATTTTTTTATTTGAATTCTACAGTTTTGTAGAATTAAAATAAAAAAAAATCCATTGATTTTGGTTTGGTGGTTGTCAAGATATTTTCACTCAAAGTTAAAGAAAAATTTTGGTGTAGCTTTTATTTTAATAGACGTTTGAGTTTTTTAAAACTTTGAACAATGATATCTTAACAACCACCAAGCCAAATTTGATGAATTTTTTTATTTGAATTCTACAAAGTTGTAGAATTAAAAAAAAAAACATTAAATTAGGCTTGATGGTTAAGATATTATCACTTAAAATTTTAAAAAAACTCAAAATGTTTATCAAAATAAAAGCTATGCCAAAATTTTTCTTTAACTTTGAGCAAAGATATCTCGACAACTATCAAACCAAAATTGATTATTTTTAGTTTAATTCTACAAAGCTGTAGAATTCAAATAAAAAAATTTTATCAAATTTGACTTGGTGGTTGTCAAGATATCTTCACTCAAAGTTGAAGAAAAATTTTAGCACAGCTTTTATTTTAATAGATATTTGAGTTTTTAAAACTTTGAGCAATAATATCTTGACAACTATTAAGCCAAATTTGATAAATTTTTTTTGAATTTTACAAAGCTGCAGAATTTAAATAAAAAAAATTCATTAAATTTGACTTGGTGGTTGTTGAGATATCATTGCTCAAAGTTTTAAAAAACTCAAAATGTCTTTCAAAATAAAAGCTATACTAAAATTTTTCTTCAACTTTGAGCAATAATATCTCAACAACCACCAAGCCAAAATCAATAAATTTTTTTTTATTATAATTTTACAAAGATGTAGAATTTAAATAAAAAAATTTATCAAATTGGTTTGGTAGTTGTCGAGATATCATCACTTAAAGTTGAAAAAATTTGATCTACAGGGTACAAATAACAAAATTGGGGTATAAATATCAGTTATCTATAATAAAGTTCCAAATTATCATATATTACAGTGCTTTTCAAATTATTGTGATTAGTAGAAATCAATAAAAATTTATTTTAATTCTAGATTCCGTATAGTGTGGTATATGAAATTCACTAATCGTAGTAATTTAAAAAGTGTTGTAAAATAGATTCAAACTTCGATTTCAGCATTATCTGTGATACTTAATGATTTAACCAGATATTTAACTATAGCTTAAATTATTATTTTTATCTTTCTATCTGTAAAGTAGGCAAAAATATTATAACATATGAAAGTCTACAGATAAAGCAGCTATTTAATCAAATAATAATCTGTAATATATAAATTTGTTTAAATTATATATTTGTTTAAATTTTCCTCTTGCCCAAGCCCAAAATTTTGATATTAAACAACTAATCAACTTTGAACTACCTAGCTACCAAATAAAATTTAACAAAAATTTTTTTATTTCAATTTTGCAGAGTTATAGCATTAAAATAAAAAAATTTACTAAATTTAATGAAGTTATTGAGGAACCTTTACAAGAATTTTGAAAAAAAATTTAAAATTTTAAAACAAATTGATTTTTACCAATAAAATTTAGCAAAAATCATCACATGTTCGCAGAATTTTATATGTATAACTTTCACTTATATTGTTTAATAATTAAAGGTATTAATTTATTGTCTCTATAGAAGTTTTGCCTTGAGTTAAATATGAAATAGCACTTACTAAATTATATTTTCATATATTAATCACAGCATATTAAAAGTTCCAGATCTCTTGTCTATGATTTTTGTCACATGCTTAATTCTACATCTTAATTCTTTATTACACTATTTAAAATACTATACATACTGTATATACTGTATATACTGTATGTGAAAAAAATTAGGCTAATATATAAATAGCCTATTACTATGCATGACACTATCATGTGAAACCAGGAATATAAATTTATGAATATATACTGGTAAGAATTTTATTTGAAATTAAGTTTTTTTTTAAACTAGAATATAATTATGTAGCAGCTTTACCACCAACTAATTAGATATAACAGAATATAGTATTAATAAATACTGACAATTTGATAATATATGATTAATTGATATCAAAAAATATATATTAAGGTATATCTATTTGTTTTTTTTTATAGTTCTTGGCTTTGCTTGAGTTTTAAGTTTTTTTATGTTTTGTCTCGCTTTACTTGGCTAGGTTTTAAACTTTATATATCTTTTTCTATATTACAACAATTATTAATTGCTAATTTAAAGCTTTAATCAAGCTTTACAATAATATAAATGCAATTTAAACATATATACTAGAACTTATATTAGGAAAACTTTGCTATTCAGTTTTAGCTAACTAATAATTAGAAGATCAGGTTAGCAGTAAAACAATTAACATTTAAAATTCAATCTCTTTAATAAAATAGAACACAAATACATAAAGCTAGTTTTGAAAATAACCAATGCAATAACTTTCAGACTCAGTTTTATATTTATTATATTATGTCTCAACTCGTTTAGCATTGTTTTAAATTTTAAATATATTGATCACACCACATTGTAAATTTAGATTTTAATCAAAACTAGCAAACAACTCATTGTAATAAGAAATATTCAATAGTTGACATGTGAAATAGTATTAACAAATACTATTTCAGGTTTGTTTTGAGATAAAATATAGATATTGAATAATCTAAATAAAGTTTATAGTCATGTAAATAAGTATCGTTAATTATAGATGCTGGCAGTAAAATCCTGGTTTTCAAACTAAATTTTTTTTGCTTTTTTCAAGTAGGATTC